ACACACATATATACATATATGTACATATATATATATATGTGTGTGTGTGTGTGTGTGTGTGTGTGTGCTTTACTCTTCTAGAGAAACCAGCCTAAGACATTTGATATTGAAAAGTGAGGGTGCTGCTCTAACAAATACCTACAATGTGGAAGTGGTTTTAGAATTGGGTAATGGGTGGAGGAAGAATTTTAAGGTGCCTAATAGTAAAAGCCTAGATTACCTTGAAGAGACTGTTGGTAGAATTATGGACATCAAAGAAAATGCTGGTGAGGGTTCAGAAGGAAGTGAGGAGAGCTATAGAGAAAGTCTCTATCATCTTAGAGAATATATGGCACCAACAACAGAATGTTTCTATAAATGTGGACATTAAATGTGCTCCCAGTGAGGGTTTACAAGAAAATGATTAACATGTGATTAGACATTAGAGGAAGGGTGATGCTTTTTATGCAGTGGCAAAGGGCTTGTCTGAATTGTGTTCAAATGTTTAATGTAAGGTACAGCTTGTAAGTGATAAACTTGGATATCTGGCTGACAAGATTTCTAAGCAAGATCTTAAAGGGGCTACATGGTTTCTCTTTGCTGGTTATAGTAAAACATGAGAGGAAAGACATAAACTTAAAAATGAACTGTGCAAAATGAAAACAGAACCTACAAGATTTGGAAAATTCTGTTGTACAGACTGAGGACATGTGTCCTAGAATATTCACTGAGGATGTGACTACACAATCTTTTGATGAAGAGAGTAAGCCTGTGACCAATGGATCTAACCAACTAACACAGCAGAAAATCCATCAGTTTAGACTGAAGGGAACAGAGAAAGAACAAAAGAAAAGAATGACATCTACCTCTTGGAATTCTGTAGGCAGGAAACAGGCCAAAGGAGCTACCATTTTTGTCCTCTAAGAAAAGGAAAAGATCATCCCTGAAGCAGCTTGGAGATCAGCAGAATTGTTAGAAGGAGCATAGAAAGCAGGGCCTTCTTTGTTTCGAAGGGTGGGGGCCACAGTTTCCTACATTTCAGAGTGGAATCTTCATCATCTTGGTTCCTCCTCAACTTGGTTTTGGAGTGTGGTGCTGCTGTTATGTTGTCCCAGGGAGATTGAGCTACCACCCTAAGCTGAGTGGATGTGGCTTCCATGACCAAGGGGCAGAAGAATGGGACCTTTGGGGGCCAAGAAGATAGGGTTACCACTCAGATGGACTGGAAGAATGGGGCTGCCTAAAGCCCAGGGAGCAGAGTTGCCCTCCTAGAGGGCCTGGCTAGTGGAGCTGAAGCCCAGGGCCAAGGGGCTTCCATGGAGAATCCAGAGGGCATGGCCAACACCTAGAATCTGGAGGGCAGGACCATTGACTGGATGGTCTCAGAGAAAAGAGGATTATTTTCAAGTCTTGAGAGCTGATATAAATAGTTCTGTTGGGTTTTGGATTTGCATGGTGCCCATTATTTATTCTTTCCTTCCAATTTCTCCCATTTGCAATGGAAATACGCACTTTGTGCCTGTTCTATCATTGCACTTTGGAAACAAATAACTTGTAGTCTAGATTTCACATGTTCATAGATGAAGAGAAATTTTGCCCCAGGATGGAATATGCCTAAAGTGGCCCCCATATTTGATTTAGAGATTCATAAAAAGAGATTTTAAACTTGGAATTTATTTAAGATTTTTGGGATGACATAATGGGCTAAATATATTTTGTGTGTGTCAAGGACATGAATTTTGATGGTCAAAGGGTGTAATGCTATGAATTGAATTGTGTCCCCAAACAATATGTACTGTAAATCCTAACTTCTGTGCCTGTGGTTATAATCTCATTTGGGAATGTGTTGTCTTTGTTATGTTGAGACATGATTATTAGTGTAGATTGTGTCTTAAGTCAATCTCTTGAGATAAACGAGATTCAATGCAAGCTAGCTAGCAGAGATG